AGGATAATCTTTAAGTTAGTTACTTGCACACTCAATAAGGTCAAGAAAACCATCATCATATCTTCTTCTTCCACTCACAATCTCTAGGACAAGAACTCCGAAACTGAACACGTCTGACTTAAGTGAGAATATACTGTGCTTGGCACATTCTGGAGACATATACCCACTGTATACCAATATTAGACAAATTACAGAAATTAGTATGTTTCTTTAGACAGAGGTAGAGTTAAAAGCACACTTGGTTGTCTTGATACTTACAATGTCCCAGCACTCCTTGAGAAAGTTTCAATTTGAAGTTCTTCTAAAGTTCTACATGAATAAAAATCTGAAAGTTTAGGGTTCATCTCTCTGTCAAGTAAAATATTACTTGCTTTGATATATACGTGATTAATTCTCAATCCTGGATCCTGCTGAAGATGAAGAATGCCACGAGCAATACCAGTAATGATTTTGAAGCGTATGTTCCATCCAAGTTCATGTCTCGTTTCACCTGTCTCATTTCAAGTTAATTAGCTCATATATGTTTATCAGTATTTAATGAATGCAGAAGTAAGAAAATTATATTCCAGAATCTGAAGTGTAGTCTTAGAAAAATTAGAGGACTGGAATCTAACCAAATAAGCAAGCATCTAGAGATTTGTTCTCCATGAGCTCATATACAAGTATCCTTTCTTCTCCATGAATGCAATATCCAAGTAGTTTAATAAGGTTTGGATGCTGAAGTTTGGAATGCAAAAGAACCTCATTTTTAAGAACATCGAAGGATTGGTAGGAATTTGATGAAAACCTTTTAACAGCTACTTTCTGTCCTGTAGATAATAGACCCTATACCGATATAATAGCATTAGCAGAAAGATTGAAATTCAAATAACCATCTTAATTTCCTAGCTAAGCAAGGAAAAGCAAACCTCACCTTATAAACCCTAGACGAATTAATCTTATTTGGAAGCGAAAAGTTATTAAAAATGTGTATAAAAATTAGATGGGGAGTCCTTTTTTTTTTTTTTTTTTTGCAATAATGTGTCATTTTTCCACTGTAATGGAGATTTAGATTACCTAATAATCCTTAAATGTTCATTCATACTCAACTTTAAATGCAAGTTTAACATTTGTTACAAGTGAACTCAAGACGTCTATCAGATGAAAATTGTCTAATAAAAAACAATTTAACAAAGTAAGAGTTAAATAGTCTTATCTTCAAATGCAGGATTCAAATGTCATTACAACACAACTGTTCAAACTCAGAGAAAGAATGCGATTGAGAACTATTACCAATGTGTTTATATGAATACACGCATAAAACTACTATATGGTTTGTGCGTAGCATACAAATATAAAACAGCTTCATAAGGTTAATGATGTTTCTTTGTTGGCAATCGTATGAAAGACACCTTCAAATTGAACCAAAAAGGTTGCGGTCTTGCAGACATGCTTTCTATCGACACTCTAACCATGTAATAGTTACCTCATTGGTGGAGTCGATGTGAGTGCTCGTCTTCAATCCAGAATATGTTTCATCTCCATGAATGCAATATCCAAGTGCTTTAATGATGTTTTGATGCTGAATTTTGGAAGGCCAAAGAACTTCATTTTTAATTTCGGTGTTGCCTTGGTAGCCATTCCTTTTAACAGCAACTTCCTGTCCTGTAGATAACAGACCCTACACAAATAGATAGCATTAGCAGACAGATGGAAGTTCAAATTACCATCTTAATTTCCTAGCTAAGCAAGGAAAAGCAAACCTCACCTTATAAACACTACCAAATCCACCTTCTTCAATCTTATTTGGAAGCGAAAA